AGTAGTAGTAGTTGTTGTTGTTGCACTCGGAGCCCAGACTTTAAATCTTGGAGTGCTGCTCGGCAGGAAACCAAAACTTACGAGACTTCCGGGGCCAAACCCCAGCCTCTTGGGCTCAAATTCTGACTTACGGGTTCGGACTCTTCAGGCTTGGAGCTGTTAGGGATGCAGGGCTTTGCATATCATTCATGTAGGTCGGTCCGTGATGGAGGAAGTATCAATCGAAGCCCTGGATTTCTGGAGTGTTGGTGGGCACAGGGTGAGGGTGAGGTTTGGATGCTGACCATAGTAGTTTACACCTGGGAGGGTTTGTAGTTTACGACTGAGAGGGCTTTGGGCGTTTAGGTTGGTCGGTCAGAACGCTCTAAGCGGTTGAAAGCCGCTGTTGCGGAGTACAGCCTTCGGCCCTGCGTCAAACATAGACAACACGAGCGCATGTCCAGACTTTCCTTGATATGCAAGCCTCATCTTGAACGATGCAGTCGTGCCACTGCTTGTCGTTGTCCCTGGCGTGATTGAGCATACTGCATGCTTACTGCAACCTGAGCAGCCACTGTTCAATCGCTGACATTGCGAAATCAGCGGCTTTTCCCGACGAAAGTGGCGCAATCAAGTTGTGCGACAGAGGTTCCATCACTACCGGCGCCTGATGCGGGGCCTTTGCCACTGCTACGTGCGGCTCAGGCAGGGGTCATGCATGTATGCATGCTATGCTGCGACACCGCTGTGACTGTGCACAACACCCCACATGAACGTTTCTAAATGCTTCGATGATTGCGCAGACCAAGTGCAAACGTGTCCGTTCCATGACGCCGCACCCTCATGCGCTCATGATATAGGGAGCTGCTCAAACAGAAGCGAGTTACAATTTGTTGCGGTACATAACTGTATGATATACATAGGGCACTCACTGAAGGAAACTGATTATGGTTGTGCTGGCGCTCGTAAGTACATGACATGGCAGGCGGTGGGTGGATCTCGACCGCTTCATTGAGGAGGCAATTCCCTACTTTCAGGAAGTGCGGCGCTCCCGCTGCACAGCTGTGTCAGCATGCAAGAATGCAGAATCAGTTGCAGCAGGACACAGTATGCACTGACATGGTATAAGCTGCAATACGTCGATGTCCATTTTATTTGGTGTTTTTGTTTTAAAGCAGGGATCTATGTAATAGAATGGCCGGACTCTTGTGTACAGAATCCCCAGCCTCTAAGAAGTTGGAGCTCTTAGCCAGCCTGGGTTAGTTTGTGCCATTGGAGTTGTCCAACATATCCTCGCATTTCATGCACATCCTGCAGCGGTTCTGGTTAAGTCTAATCTGGGGGTCGCAATAAGGAAGGCCTTACCCCACCCTCCATGTGCGTAGCGCGTAGTAAAGACGTAGATATCATTCGGTGGAGGCAGTGAAGGCCAGGACGCCCCTTCCAGCCCTCCCTTCTTTTTCAGGCTGTTTCTGGACCTGATGCAAATTCGTCCTGGTTGTTGGGCATTTGCTCCGTGTAGGGTTGCAGGAGCCTGATCAAGCTAATTGCCCTGAGCCCCGCGGTGCTTTGGCAACAACGCCTTCGTCTACAAACCTTGAACTACCTATATTTGTAGCCATGGCCTGTAGTTCCTGAATTGTTTGCTCTCTTCGACTGCAAAACCGCGAGCGCCATGTTTTCATATTTCTTTTCCGTGATCTCCCGGACCTTCCATAAACCGCCCTGAACCCAAAACTGAGGAGCATGCAGCGGAAAAAAGTCCCGCAGTTCAAAAACAAAGACCGCGAGGACCCTGTTTGGGGCATGGAGCTCTCTATGTCATCCAGTTAGTACGCCGCTTCGGGTGTTTGGTCCATGGTTTGCAGATTCAGCCGCCTCCCAGTGGAGGCAGAGCGAAGATATTGACATGTTTGTACAAGGCGATGACGCTGAGAATGCCTGAGAGCGACAGACATCCCTAGGACCTAGGATGCAAGCAAGCAAGCCAGAAAGAGAGAGACATATATAGAGAGAGAGAGAGCAGGGCATGTGTGTCACGTTTTTCAGGTTTCTACGGTTAGTCTTTTCTTCGAGACACGGACGCAGGCTGCATCCGAAAATCCCCAACTCCAAGCTGCCTGAAATTCCAGAAAGTCCGTGGTCGCGGACGTTCCAGACTCCTGTGACCACCGCCCTAGAATCCCCAGGTATAATCATACACAAGCCAGAATACAAACAGTTGCGATAATACAGCAGAGGAGCTTTGGATCACTTTGCAGATGCAACGAGCTGCGGCATGCATTCTCATTGGCAGCTTGGCCATGCCTCGCTTGCGTTCGTCAGGTTTGTGTTTTTTTTCAAGGAAAGTTTGAGGATGAGGGTGCTTGAGGGCTGTCAGACCGGCCATGTCCTGCACTATTCGCCTATATGGCAAGGGTTACCCGGTTCCAAAGACGGAACTCACGGCTGCAACCGTGAGCATGTGGAGAGTTTTCCTGCTCTGTGGCACGAAAACTTATTGAGTGGTCCCTTGCCAACTTGCCCTGCGAGAAGCAGTGGCCTAGCCATGCGTGAACTCTGCCTGTAGTTGAAGGACGGGTAAGCATGAGCATGAGCAGTGCAGGGTCGGCTTGATACTCGAGATCGGTCATTGAGAATGTGCTGCGTGGGAGCCTTGTTGTTGAAGTGAACCCTTAACTCTACTTCAGTCAGGGCGAGGAGTTCAGGGGCAGAAAGCAGAATGATGTTCCACCTTTCTGGTTTTGTCTTACTTGCAGAACATGCGGACACCCCAAGGCAGAGATCATTACGAGAAGGCCGACAAGCCGAGCACTCAGGGTTCAGGATTTGATCGTAGCAAGTGGTCGTGCATCTTCTGGTATGACGTTCAGGATTCTTTCATTGCGAATCATTGCTTTTATCGGTGACTTGGGATGACTGCTAATTGTGAGATGTTTAAGACTTCAGATGAAGTGGTGCAGCCTTTCGGGCTATGAGCGGTATGTAGCCAGGGTCGGTGCAGATGTTTGCAAAGGTTAATCCCCTAGCAAAGAGAAAGAACCCTTCTTTTCATTCCGGTTCTTTGAGTGTTAGCTGGTGTAGAACCGGAATCCTGGTATTATTGCTATGATGGGAGGGTTTATGAAGCTATTGCTAGAATTAGCACGAGGGTGACGGCGCCACCGCTGCTGCTATGCCTCGCAGCAAGCGTCGAGAGCTGCCATTGCCAGCATCGAAACTACCATCAAGAATCAAGATTGGTCCTCATCCCCAATCAGTTTTTGTTCCAGCGGCTGCCGTATTGCAGAATACACACTACTGGCCAAGGTTCCTCCAAAACGTGAGAAAGGTCCAGCCAAAAGACCGGGTGCTGCAGCGCACCGTTGACAGCCGCCAGGCTGCATTCAGATAACTTCCCAAAACTCAATAGTTTGCACGCCAGACCAACAGTGCTGCGACCATCTGTGGCCCCTGGCGGCCGCAGGGTCCCAGTTTGGTGTCGCAGCAACCGTCAATCCGTCAATCCATTGCAGAACAGCTCCGGGGCAGCGCAAGGCATTGAGTTTCTGCGCGAACAGCTCAAAGATGTTTCAGCGGGAGACAGCGCGGCGAACACGGAGGCAGGATGGCAAGCTCTAGCTGCTCTAGCTCTATCTTGACAGTTCAGATAGATTGGCCAAAAAGCGTATAAGCATCCAAGGCCTTGAAGTGCATGTGAACGTATTGGATAACGGTGACACACCAAACAGATTGCATGCATGCAAGTATTCGTGGATAAGGGCTGATGCATATATGCAAGTGTGTGCGTGTGTGTGTGCAAGTATGCAAGGCAGGATGTCAGTACCGAGAGCTTTGTTCCAGTTCTCGTGCCATTGTCGTAGCTGCGACTTTCAAAAGCAACCCAAGCTCGCCAGGATACCCTGCTGACACAAGCCATGCTTGCGATGCGCTGGTGACACAAGCCTTGCTTGCTATGCGCTGGGGCTAAGATAGCTCCGAACAGCAAGTTTTCTCCAAGGTCTTTTGCGAATCGGTGGGCTTGCTGCTGGGTGTGGGGCTGTCCTGGGCTAGAGAGATCGACTGACCTTTCCTGGGGGAGCTCGACCTTGGTCCCCTCACTGTACAGTTTTATGTGGGCGCTTCCAGACAGTCCCATGCTGCCGTTTGGCATGACGCCCGTGTCAGAGTGCAGACAAAAAGCCTGGAGTGCCTGGGTGCTGGCTGTGAGTGCGGGTTACCAGCGCTGCAGACATGAGACTCTTGACCTCTTGCATGTTCATCTTTGTGTGAGGCTTCACGCTCTGAGGGCATCGCAGCGTCTGTAACTACACAGGAGTCTTTACATACACAAAATCGGTGTGTCCGCGAACATCTCGCCCCTTTAATACCTCTTGGAAGAAGAGAATGCAGATGTTCTTTTGCCTCCCTCGCTCAGGTGTATTTGTGCCGTCCGTCGCACCTGGCCTTTCCAAGCAGCGTTTTCTTTTTTCTGTGCTGAACTGCAGCCACACACCTGTAAGCAAAGTTTGCTGGTTTTACGGTCTTGTCTTGAAGCTCGGCGCAGCCGTCGCTTGCCTTGCCCTGCCCACCTCGGTCGAAACTCTGCGCAAACCCTGACCAACAGAAATTACACGCAGGTACACCCAAAAGTCTAGTACCGAAACTCTACACGCCGAAACAGAAACTGTAATCCCTAAACC